AGAGAATATTATTTTCTGATTAGAGATTTAATAGAATCCTATGTTGGGGAATGAGAGTTAGTTTCTTCAGGAAGATAGGCAATATGAACACATATCCTAATTAGTATTGAATCAGTTCCATGTAGAAGAATAGACAGCTTTATTTTGTGGAGAGGAAGAAATAACACCAGAAGCAAAAAGAAATGTAAGGACTGATATTATTGGGTTCTCTAGTGAAGCCATACCATTTTTGGTTGCATATGAATATTTATGCAAAGAGTTTTATATTAATAAGTTGGTCACACAGTTTTAAATTATGTAATTTCAATCCATTCTAGTTCAGGAGTCATATATAAACTGGAGGCTTTTCCTGGCTCCTGTACCTGCAGTGACTAGCAAAGATGAAGCAGAAAGACCACAGGCTGATGGATGACATGCTGAATGAATCCCAGTTTAGATGAATGAATACAAGGTTAGTTGTCTTTTGATGACTCCTGGGATTGGCAGGTGGTATAACAACAGATTGAAGAACCACATATCGTCCAGCACTAGAAGCGAGCTACCTTCCACTCACTGACAATTGATACTACAGGGAAAAGTAGTCCACAACCTAAACTGAATCCTCCCTCAATTGTATCTAGACTGTGACCTGATTAAGTAAGTGGTATTCTACCCTATTCTTTCCCAAAATCTTTGGCTGCTTTACAGAAAATCCTATCATGGAACTGACCATACTTTATGAGGTTACATCATGAGAGAATCCTGGCCCCTTCAAATTAACATAAAACCTAACTATCCTGTTTCCCGAAAGTATGACATCCCCTGAAAATAAGACCTACTTACAACTTTACCTCTCGCTGAAATATAAGGCACCCTAAAAAGAAGATCTCCCTGAAAATAAGGCCCCCCGAAGCTACCGTAACTCTGGACTCCGGATCCTAGCGGAGGGCACCGCAGCTGGAGCAGTCAGGAAGCGTGAGGTCCCTTTTAATAAAACAATAAACAATAAATGTGTCCTGTATTCTTTTTCATGGAAAAATAAGACATGCCCAGAAAATAAGACCTAGCACATCTTTGGGAGCAAAAATTAATATAAGACACTGTCTTTTTTTCAGGGAAACAGGGTATCATACTATTGTCTCTGGAATGTCTAGGACCACTTGTGGTTTTGTTCAACTGTTTTCTCTGTCCTTCTTCATGTTGATTTCTGATGTCACCTGACTAGTAACCTAAGGGTTGGAAGTGCAAACCCACCCAGGAGTACTGCAGAAGAAAGGCCTGGCAAAGCTGCTCCCATGATTATTACAGATAAAACACCCTCTGGGGTGGTTCTGTTCTGTAAAACACTGGGCTTGCCATAAATGAGGATCAAATAAGTGACAATAATGTTTGTTTGTTTTTATTATCATTTCAATTATCACTCTAGATGCTGATCTTTCTGGTAGATGTTCTCTTTTTACAACTGAAATTGATAATTTTCAGAGAAGAATGTTGGGGATTTAAGAGAAACATGTATGTCTCAGAGAGAAAATTGTAGGTTTCTATACTATCCAAATAAGAGAATGTCTTAAGTAGAGGGGACTGAATTGTTCATATAACATGTATATTTCTGCCATAGGAATAGATTATAATTTTTGTTACCATCCAGATAACACCACGATCTGTAATTTCACAATTATTCAGAAATTAATTTTAATTTCATTCCTTATTTGTACTTTCATCAACATTGAAAATTAAACATGCTTTTTTGCTTATTTGAAGCTTTTGTTTCTTTTCTTTGTACTAAATTGTTTAAAGTTGTTAATTGGTATGAATGTTAATTTACTAAGCACTTTGGTATTTCTTTAGCTTGAGAACATGAACATCTCTTTT